CTGTCAAAGGAGGTAACACCTCGAATCCGATGAAACACCTGGCGACGCATAACGTGCAGAGAAATGCGCCATATTTGAGACCTCACACCGAGCACATCTACTGCGGGTGTGGTGAATCTCCATTAGCGAGTTAGCGCGATCGCCCCGTGCGTGGGGGTGGACGTTATCATTTTGCAGAAAAAAAAGAGACTGCTAAAAATAAAAACATGAGAGGTTTTTGGACAAAGTTTGTGTTCTTTATTCTTTAAGCACCGGTTTGAGCACCGTTTAAGCACCGGCACCGTTTCATAAGTACTGATTTGGCACCGGTATCGGATAAAACCTAAACGATACCCATCCCTACCTGTTACCTAGATTCTGGTGCTTTACTTGCACTTGGCAGCCTGCATGAAATACTGTGTGTAAAGGACAGTCGTTTTGCAAGTTCAAGTCAAACTGCTCAAATTTTAATACCATCAATTTGCACATCATAGACCATTTAGTAAATATTTGATCATCAAGCAAGACCCTGTAAGTCACTATCATCAGAACAAGAGTCTGTCAAACACCCAGTAACACCTTCACCCAGAGAAACCCCCAAAGTCAGCAGTGACACACAAACAGCTCCCAGTCCCACACAGATGTTCGAGGCTCACGATGTCTTTGTAAAAACCAACAGTCATTTTAAAGACAAGAATTACAGTGCTGTGCCATTACTCATCACCTCACCTTCGAGACGCTTAACAAACGATATATTATTAATCTTTAGTTTAAAACGAGACAAAATAGGGGGTTAAACCCTAAAGATCCACTCCCTCCAACAGTTTGTTTGCTGTTTCTGGTGATCGGTGAGGGCTAAACGACAGCACTGCTTAGAGGATGGGAAGAAACAGACCCTGAGCTTTCAGTGTATTCTGGGTTAGGAAACCAGATCATCAGAGTTAGGCCAACTGCTGGGACAGCAGGCTGTGGGTGAGGCCTGGCTGAGGCACTGCTGGTGGTCCTCGTCAATGCTGCTGCTGCGTCGAGACCAGAGCTGATGGCTGACCACCACCCTGTAGGACAACACAGGAGAGCTCACTTAGAGATTGGTGTGCAATAATCCACATCCTTTATTGCTCTAACTTTCATATGATAGGTGTATTACTGGAACAAACCCTATACCTGGCTCTGGAAGGGCTAACCACGTCCTGTCTGTTGTGTTCAAACCTGGAGCTGTAGCTGTACTTACACCACTACAAAGACAGACTGATTTCAGCATTTTAAAGGAGCCACTTTCTCTTCTAGTTTTATGTTTTCCTTTCATTGTTCTGCAGTTTCTCACCATGTGAGCAGGGTCACTGGTTCCCAGATGGACTCCTTGCTGGCAGAGAGGTCTCAGTAGGCTGATACCTGCACATAAGACAAAGCAAACCTGAGC